GGCTGAACAACATCTCAAGGATTAAAGGACTAATTCCTGCTTCGTTCATACTTAGTGGAATCGACCCCTGCAGCGGGTCCTCAACGAGCGTCCTGTAGCCTTCAGTGTAGGTGAACAGCTGAGTCCTGTCTGGAAGAGTTGGCTCAACACAGGAGGGCTGATTCCTCAGAACAGGTCTCAGCGGTTCACCTACACCTGAAGGTTAAAGGACACTTGTTTGTGGACAACAAGGTCCTTATTCTGGCAAAGGAAGAAGGATCAAAGAGGGGTTAAGGAAGCCATCTTTGTTAACCTGGAAAAACCTTCTCTCAACAGAGGAGGCGGTCTTAAGGGCTGGTTATCCTCCTGCAGCAGTGTGTTACAGTGAGCTTGACACAGACATTTTTGATTTATGCTCAATTTTGAGTGTGGTCTGTGCTACACGCTGTGGGTCTAGATACGGCCGAGGTGGAGAGGAAGTTGGGGCAAGTTTGTCCGACAACTGAGGGACATGAGGGTGAAAAAGAGCGGGGATCCAGGCGGGAAAAGGGTCCCAGCATTCTTGCAAACCTCGCTCTTCTAGCAGGTCCAACTTCACCAGCTGTTTTCCGCGATTGCGGTCATAAAAAGCAAAACAACACTGTCTGCACTCACCTACAATTTGGGAGAGGTGCAGCAGAGTGTCTTCAGAGGGGGCGGGGATGTCTTTGCGTCCACTGCGACACCTACGCAGACGACCTAGTTTCAAAGCACTTTTAGGAACAATACCCAGAAGATTCAGCTCTCACCCGCCCTTACCTGACTCACACTTCAATGAGGCACGTGACTGAAACCACTCTGATGAGGGAGTTAACGACCCTTCAGAACCCCATTACGGCCATTAACACACCCCCCAGGTGACCTCCGTGGTCAATCCAGAAGGAGGGATCAGAGCCACCTTTTCCCCCCCCTATTCTTTGTTAGACCTACACTATATTAATCTTTGTCCTCCCAACCGTCAGAGCCTCTTAAATGAGAGGAGAAGCATATTCTAGAAAACTTCCCGTCCAGCTGCCTAAACTGAACCTTTCAAGCTTAAGGCCGACTTATTTTGGCTTTATAGAGTAGTTGTCATGTGGGGGGCAGTAACGTGGTACCACAGGAGCCAAAATGGGAAACAGAATAATCGCTAGTTTGAGAGAAAAGAAGGGACACACCAGAAAATAAAAATTACAATGGAAACCCCTGATGAACCTTAAGCTCTGTGGAGGTGCAGAGCCGATGACTGTGTCCTTAATGCTGTTGCTGTCATCATCTGATTTGTTTCATTCAAAGCTTTAATAAGGTTACACAAACAAAACAGGTCCCTCCTGGTTCTGGTCCATGTGACACTGTTACACCTTCATTTCTGTTTGCTCCAACACAATGAGCAATTCTATATCTATCTATCTATCTATCTATCTATCTATCTATCTATCTATCTATCTATCTATCTATCTATCTATCTATCTATCTATCTATCTATCTATCTATCTATCTATCTATCTATCTATCTATCTATCTATCTATCTATCTATCTATCTATCTATCTATCTATCTATCTATCTATCTATCTATCTATCTATCTATCTATCTATCTATCTATCTATCTATCTATCTATCTATCTATCTATCTATCTATCTATCTATCTATCTATCTATCTATCTATCTATCTATCTATCTATCTATCTATCTATCTATCTATCTATCTATCTATCTATCTATCTATCTATCTATCTATCTATCTATCTATCTATCTATCTATCTATCTATCTATCTATCTATCTATCTATCTATCTATCTATCTATCTATCTATCTATCTATCTATCTATCTATCTATCTATCTATCTATCTATCTATCTATCTTTATTTATTTATTTTAGTGTCCTGTCTGGCAATGTGGCAATAACAATAATTGTTTTGATGCCAAAGAAGACCCCAACAGATTTTTATTTCACAAGTGAAGCAGTACGTGTATCGCCCTAGTGTTCCACTTGATTTATCCATATAAATAGCTTTATTATGATTATGCAGAGAGTATTACAGATTATATGGACAATGCAGTGTTGAAGTAGAAGAGGAAAGAAAAAACAGGAAAGAGGAGAAAAGATGAAAGAAAGAGGAGATAAAAGGGAGACAATGATAAAACGCCTTCTGTCTGATTCATAAAAGAACAGCACAACCAATGGATATAGGATAAGAGATACAATAAAGTAGCATATTGATAATATTGCTGATGTATAAGAAGTATTATTTAATATGGCATGTATTCTGTGTTACCTGAAGATAAGAATAGGGGCTTTCTGTATGGAAGTCTTTATGTACCTGGAACCAAACACCTGTAGTTGTTTGTTAAAGTGCACTTGTGCATTGTAAAGTTTGTCCAAATGAAAAATGCTCAATAGTGGTTGTGAAGAGCCAAAGACGCACCCCTCCAGAGCACAGAGGCAAGTGCTGGGGCACCCAAAACCCCAGATGCCCAAAGGGGGGCCCAGAGCAAAGGCGCCCAGGAGGGGCCAACCCAGGAAATCTGCACCCCCACCAAGGGAGGAGGAGAGATGGCCCCGAAGAGTTCCCCCATCCATCGCAATGCTGAAGCCCCGCCCCCCGTGGTCATCCCCAACCGGGCCTCGTGGGCCCAGGTCCCGCGAACCAGCCGCCAGGAATAAGCCAAAAAAAAAAGTCTCAATCACGTCTTCCAACCCTAGTGCCTCCACTCGCAACACACAGACTCACAGATGAAAAAAAACTGCATAAACCACAAGTAATTCTAAACGTTGAGGTTAATCCAGCTTTCTTCCATCATCCTACATCATCATCACCATCCTACATCATCACTATCATCATCACCATCATCATCACTGTCAGTATCATCATTATCATCATCATCACCATCATTATTTTTATCAACAACAACAGTTTGCTGTCAGACATCAATTGTTCAGATTAGACAGTTTGAAGATCTTATCTGTATTTGGCAGAAGTGGTAAAGATAAACCAGACATGATAAAACATGGCTTTTAGAAGATACAGTATCCATCCATCCATTTCCTGTCACGCTTTATCCCTGCTGTGGTGGCAAAGGGTGCTGGTGCCTATCACCAGCTGTCTACGGGCGAGAGGCAGGGTACGCCCTGGACAGGTGGCCAGTCTAGCGCAGGGCGAGGGATGATTAAAAAGCTGCAGGAAGAGGAACCTTGACTTTTACTCTGGTATTAATGCAGCTTTCAGAAAACAAATTACTGCTTTTACCATATTACTCTGCATTTTTCTGCTCATAGATACTTTGGGTCAAATCATCTACTCTAAATATGTTCATTTTCCAGTTTCTAAACTGGAGACAAATCATCATTATGTTATAGGATTGATATAAGACAGGAACACAATGACCTTCAGTCTAACCCCTAGAACTCTACGGACCCACCGGCGGGTCCAGCTGCTACGTGACCTCGTAATTTTACCAAACCCCCAGTATTGATGTAAAAAACATATTTGGCACAGTTTGGTGACATTTATGGATAAATGAGCCAAAATGGCCCCTCCACCTAAGAAATTTCTCACTAATACCATTCTAAAATAAATATGATTCATCTGATTGAGTCCAAATTTGGTATATTTTTACACAACATTTAGATTTAAAAGTCTGTACTACTTTTTTGTACTATAAATAATATTTTGGTAGTGTTTTGCAATGTTTATTTCAAAGAAAATTTTGGCGAGGTTCAAAAAATGCAAAATATTTTGTATTTTGTCCCTAATATTTCAGGCAGGGTCAAAGCTACAATGGTGCTGACACCAGAAAACCATTCTATGACATCTTACCTTTACAGACGTACCAAAAGTTTCTTCTTAAATCTAATAGCTTTGAGGCTATAAGTTATTTACTTTTGTGTGTTTTTGTCAGGCAGAAATTTATTTATACCCCCTTAGGGTGTAAGAGGCTAATGGAGCAGAGCTTGCATCCCAGTCAGTTGTGTATTTTTAGTAAACAGGATAAAACATTACTAAGATACTCATATGACTCAGCCAAAAGACTAAGATTTAAATGAGTGATAAAATGCAATTTCCATTGTCATAGATGAATAACGATAGTTCAGTGGGTGAAATGGACGCACAGAGAAGTTCAAACGCCATCACATTGCCTTATTTGGTTCTGGCCTGGACTTTTGTCATGCCATCAAATTGACATAGAGACCAGCCCACTGGTTCACTGGCCCAAGAACATGAATAGAGGTAGATTTAGGTATGAAAAGTAGGACATGTCCGGGAAAAAGAGGATGTCTGGTCACCCTACCATATCAACAATTTGATTTTCAGCGAGTGAGCACGTTTTTATTTATTTGTGTAGCTCAAAGAAAACACGTCCAAGATTGTCACCTAAGACCTTCCTCTCCCTAGTTAGTCTGCTTCTGCTTCTGCAGAGCTAATGTTTTTGCCAACACAGGGACCCCTCCCCTAATGAAAGAGTTTGTGTCATCATGGTCTGACACTGGGCAAGCTGTCCTCACACAAACACATGAATACTTTTTCACCAAATCAAATTCTTACAGCCAGCAAAGATGATTAATGTTGGCTATTTTGAAAGGTACCATCAAATCTGCAGCTAAATAATAGACAGTTCCTAAGCTGTGCAAGAGAGATTTGATCTCAAAGCTTGAAGTTATAATATCTAGAAAGAATGCATTAATTAGTCAGAAATACAGTTCTCTGATGGAGGAAATGCAGAAGCCAGACATTTCATTGGCAGCAGTCGTCTAATGCACTGCTTCTTCTGTTTATTGCTGATATAGTAGATGAGTTAGCCGATACAGACCATTTATATATGAATCTAAGCTTAAAAAAAAGCAAATATTTGAGACCAGAGAAGAAAATCAACGAATGTTCTGCTCTGTCTGGTGTTATAGTCTTGATTACCACAGTTGGTGTGGAGAGCTCTTCAGGTAAACGCAAACCTTTGCCTCTTTTGACATTTTTGCAGTAAGAACATTTTTTTTTCTGCAGATGTCCAATAGTCAACAGGACGTGTCCTCCTGGTCAGACGTGGAACATCAAGCAGTGTCAGTGTGTCAGCATGGCTTCCGTTGGACAAACTAAGTCCTCTCCTCCACCGCTGCCTCCTCTAAGACCACCGCAGCAGCACCATGGTAGGTGTTACTGTTTTAAAGTTAGGTTCAACTTATATTGCTCGTTTTTTCGATCTATAAAATCATGCTAACCGTTGTTCCTTGGTCAGATTAAAGTCTGGACTCTGGCTGGGACACCTTCAAAATATTGTCATTCCATTCTAATTCCAAAAAAGTTAAAATATTGGTATTGGGCTTCTTTTGATAGCCTGAAATGCCCCATACCTGTCTATGTCTCTGAAAGGGGGGTTGTTAGAGGGAATTGTTAGCCTGACTGAATAGGGGGGGTGTTCTGTTCGCCTGTAAAGGGGTTTGGGTTGTGATGATGGGCAGAAAGGAAAGCTGAAATCTGATTCCACCCCCTCTGTTTAGTTGGTTTTTCTTAACATAGATGGCTTCCTTCACGCCCCTCTCATACCACCTATTTTCTTTGTCCAAAATGTGAACATTCTGGTCCTCAAACGAATGTCTTTCGTCCATAAGGTGTAGCTGTACCACCGAGTCTTGTGCCGAGGAGGTCAGCTTTTAAAAACCTAAAATGAAGCAATTGGGTTGATTAATTCCTACTATCATCACAACCCCAACTCCTTTGCAGGGGACAGAAGACCTCGCCTGTTCATCCAGGCCAACAATTGCCTGTAACGTCCCGCCTTTTAAAAGCCACAGGCAGGTATGGGCCATTGCAGGCTAAGAAGCCAATCGACCCACATTCCAAAGGGGTGGACCCGTTCGTCCAGTTCAATTTACGTGTTTTCTAAACAAAAACAAGGCTTTGTTGGGGTGCTGTATAAAATCTGGAACTCAACGCTCTTTCTGACGTTCTGAATTGAAAAAGCTTCCTGGATGGAAGAGAAACGTCTTCAAACTTGGAAACAAAGTCCAGTGGATTGTTTTTATATTTAACTTTTTGGAATTACTATGACCTGGATGACAGAGAATCTTTACCAGCATATTCCATTCTACAAAGGTGGCATTATGTCAGCATCAGAAAACAGGCTTCAATCAGAGGCACCCATATACAAGTCATTACTGTATATGTGGGCCATATCTGGCGATGATATTCAAATTTAGCTTCCTAATCTCCATAGCAAACCTACTGACAGGGAGCAGAGACCTTTTATGCTGGAGGCAACCCTGATTCAATTCAATCTCTCAAAAGAGAGTTTAAAAGGGTTTTTTCTCTCCACGCTCGCTGCATGCATGCTTTGTGTTAGGGATTGCCCGAGGGGTCAACGGCACAATGCAAGTAACTGTTGACTGTTGCTAGCTGCTCACCCAGGAGGATCCATTCCTATAAGACAGTCAGCTGGATGTCCTTAGATTGAAAACTTTCAACCAATCTGTCTGGAGGATTTGATTCAGTTGTGTCTGTAAAAATCCTTGATAACATGTTGGGAATTGGTGACATCTGAATTAATTAAGTTAAACTGAATCAAGCACAATTTCCACCTCCAGATCTCCTTTGTAAGTAGAAAAAAAGATGTTTTTGGGCTCAAAACAAACATGTTGGTGTCCTGAGACAAAAGTAGGGCTAGCTAAATTCTCAGCTTGGTGTTTATTGGGAAGAATGTCTTACTGTTGTAAAGTTGCAAGTTTAATTCTGGCTGCCTTACCTGTCAAACAGACCTTTAACATGGCACTCTACCTGAGCTGCCAGCTAACACATTGGAAACAAGGTTCAGTCAATTTAACATAAAACAGATTAAAGTGGAGATTAAAACACTGATGTTTGCTGTGAGAAAGAAAAACAGAAGTTTTAGTCTAGAAACCTGATAAACAGACCCTGTAGGGATTCCTGTTTTTTTTTTTTTTCATATTCTTCTAAAACACTCATGGATGTGTGAGATCATTATCCTGTTCAAATCTGCCCACTGCTGTGGCTTTCTGACTCACCTTAATCCTCATAATCAGTGTTTGTTACGGTTTTTCACCAGCATTAACTGAGCAGTAACTGATGCAGCTGCTTAGACGTTGAAGAAACTTTGAGGATGTCGTGTCAGTGAAACTTAAAGTCCATCTGCACCTAGTTTCCTTGAAATGTTGTTTGGCTCTAAATGTCAGTTCAAGATGACGCTGCTCGCTTGCTGGACTGACGAGGCGATCAGTTGCAGCTGAGGTGAAGTATCATGGCTTAAAGCAGTAAGATTGGGAGGGAAGGGGTTCTTATTGTTTTATGGGATCTGCAGATGTTTTTTGTGTGAAAGTTTTAGCCTGTTAAACTTTGTGCTGATAATTACTGAATACTGCCTCCGCTTGTTGAGGCTCTTTGTCATACCATAGATTTGGCACCAATTTCATTGTTTTTCTTCTTAGAGATTTAGGTTTATGTTTTCAGAAATTCCTCCTCCCTCTTTGTTTTAGACGTCTAAGTAGACCACAGACATGTGTCCAACCATCCAGCAGTCAAACAGCTCACCTGTTTCCTCAGTTTGTCTTCTGTTGATCAATTCATTTCATCGCTTTGATGCAGAGAAAAGTAAAAACATTCAGGACACATGTCCCATGATGACTAGAATCTTCCATCCCTTCACTGAATCCAAGGTTATAGTTTGATTATGAAGGTAAAACAAAGAGTTTGTTTTTGTTGCCTGTGTAGGAATTTGTTCATTCACTTTAGCGGCCATCTTCTAAATGATGTTTGTCATATAAGTGATTCCCTGGTCCACATCAGTGCTCTGTGAGGAATGTTCTCATCAGAACCCTCCTATGTAACTTCAGAGGGTCAGATCCATGATATTACTACGTAGACGCCTCATTGGATGCTTTCAGCAGTGAGGCCGACGTGTCTTTTGGGACGGCCATCTTGGGTCAGACCACAGTTCCGACAGCTGCTGTCAGAATGAATAGGAGGAGCCTCAGATCTTGTTTTAATCACATGGAAGAGAAGTTGAGGATAATATTGAAGCACTAACTTCAATATTAACCCTTTAAAGACCAAAACAAATATTACAAATTCATTCAGATTAAAAACTCTTTAAACAGAAATCAAACTGGATGAAAAATATACATACAGTTAAATATTTTGCAATTAAATAGTAAAATAATAAACACAGAGTTTTATATAAATATTTGCTAATATTATACAAAATAAATAGTATATATATTTCTACAGTAGTAGCCATTTAAAAGTTCCCCACTTTCTTTAAAGGGCCCTTGGCTGATCCTTGGATGGTCCTTGGATTGTCCCCTAGAATTCCTTTTTAAACATCAAGAAATGAATTAATGTAGAAATTAATGCAAGTCAATGGAAAAGCCTCACAGCGATAGTGAGAGATGTCTTTATGAGTGTCTACAGGATCCTCATTTTACTTCATGTTTGGCCCTGATAAGACTGTGTGTGGACCCCATTTAAACAAATAAAAGCAGAGGAATGCAGAGACTTCAGTGACCACATCCAACAAAGAACACACAGAGTCTGACTCACAGATTGATTGGAAAAATAATTATTGGAGGGAATCAGATGTTTACAGAAAAGATCACATTCAGAGCTGCTGTCACATTGTTTCTTGTTTGGCAATGTATGATGGGCTGTTTCAAGACCTTTCTTACATTAGTTTAAACATTTTGTGCAAAATCAACTCTTTCTGCCATCAGATGGAGGAGCTACAATCATTCTGCATTCTATGGTAAGTGTGCATAGCATTTAAATAACGGTTCAAATTCTTATCCCCACAATGCTTCCTGGGTGCTTCACAATTGCTGCTAACTGCTAACCAAGGGGATGACTTACATGAAAGTGATGAATATTGTTCTAATCTACAATTATGTCCAATATTATAATTATCACTTCCTGGAAGTGAACTTGATGCTCACACTAAGGGGGAACATGCAAACTACGCATAGTGAGAACCGGACCCGGATCCTAACCCAGGTTCTTTTTGCTTAGAGGCAGCATCCCAGGCCCCCATTTTCATTTCATAATCAACATAATTCATTGTATTTATACTCGCATCACAGCATTTTAAAGCACTTTTACACAGACATTTCAACCAGATCCTCCAGTCAGATTACTTCAATGTTTTCTATCTAAGTTAAACCACCTGATTGCATTCAGTCATTGACTTGCAGGATTGTGTCCTCCTGGGTGAGCAGATGGACAGTAGACATCCCTTTGCATTGTGTTGTTGATTCTGGAGCAATCTGTCACACTGAACATGCATGTGGCTACAGTGGGGAAGAAAAACCTCCAACAGAACCAGACCGAGTGTGAGTGGCCTGAACCGTGTGTCTCAGTTTGTGCAGAATGTAGATTTGCAAAGCATAAACCAACCATGTCACATTAAAAAACCAGCCAATGGCTACGAACTGGACTAAACACTGGAAAACAGGCCCAGTTCTGTAATCTGTAATGGGGTTAAAGGCCCTTGTGCCCTTTTAGGCACGTCGCTAGTTCTACTCACCTGAGTCAAATAATGAGGTCATGGGCAGGCTGACCCCTCGCTCCAGGATGGTGTCAAAGCTGAACAGAGCACTAGGCCAACAGAGATACAATTCTGTTGGCAGCTGTTTGGCAGCTGTATCTAATAGAAACCTGGGTTGTTCCTATTCTCTTCTGTCATGAAATAAATTATGGGGCTCTAGATAGATAGAAGAGGGTCTTTCATACAGTAGCAGCCATTCAAGGCCCTTCCCAGTCAAACTCCACCCAAATGGCAGCCCACTCCCCTGCGATTCCCAGCAAAATCCCCTCTAACTTCCAGCCACTGGCCTTCTCCTGGGCATGGATATTTTTTTACTCTGACTCCACCCTTCACTGAATTACAGGGTCTGACCAGAAGATGGTGCTTCTCTTTAGATCTTAATGTCCACAAATCATGACCAAAAGGATATTTTAGTACAAAGTTGAGTACAACCAAGGACCAACCAAGGGCCAACCAAGGACAAGCCAAGGACCAGCCAAGGACCAGCCAAGGGCCAGCCAACGACCAACCAAGGGCCAACCAAGGACCAGCCAAGGGCCAGCCAAGGACCAACCAAGGGCCAGCCAAGGACCAACCAAGGGCCAACCAAGGACCAGCCAA